CCCCACCTTGGGCAGTCCTCTCGCCTTAAATCTGGGCTGGGGCTCTGACTTGTTTTAACAAGAGAATGCAGGGCACGTGGTACTGGGCCAGGGCCAGGCCTAAGCCTTGAAGGGCCTGGGAGCGTCTGGTTTTGTGTTCTTGGGAGCTCTGGGAAGAAGTCTAGCTACCCTAATAAACTAGTTCCCAAAGGGGAAGCCCTCTGGGGAGTGTAAGAACCTCAGAAAACGTGGGAAGACAGAGAAGCCCAGCCCCAGCTGCCTCCCCACATGACTGCCATCACATAGGGACCACTGGCTAGACCAGCAAAAGAACCTTCCGCCTGAGCCCAGCCCACAGAACTGTGAGACATGATAATAAAATAATAAAACGTTGTTCTATGCTACTAAGTTTGAGGGTAGTTTACTACAGCAAGAGATCAAAGAGGTCTTCTTTGGGACAAGTGAAGTATAGAAAGTTTAAAAGGTTTGACCGGACAAAGGCTCAAGCCTACTGCTGTGGTTATAACACAGGCCAAGGCTTTGTTTGCTAACTGACTGAATAAAAGAGCCAATGGGCTAAGGATGGCTGCAGAGCTTGAGCTAGCCATCTCTGACAATCCTCCCATTCCCTCCTTTCTTGCACTGAAGCTATGAGTTAAAAGAAATACGATAATGTATAAAAAAACAATATCCAGTGTGGTACATGGTAAGCACTCAAAAATGCTTATGTGTTCCTTCATGCACTCTTAAAGCAGTGACGTGAATCCGAACACATTTACTCAGAGGCACTAGGGTGAAACAGTTTTAGATCATTCTGGAACCAGACAGCCTGGGCTCAAATCCTGGCTCTCACAATCACAAACGGCATGGCCACAGACAACCTACTGAACTCTCCTGTGCCTCAGTTTCCTCATTTGAAAAGGAGGGTAATAGTGCCGACCTCACAGGACTGTTAGGATTAAATGATTGCACGTTCAGAGCTTAGAAGGCACCTGGCACGTGGTAGGCACCATGTAATGTTAAGGTTTGCATTGTTGTATATCTCGGATTCAGTCAGTGGTCCATTACACTAGCTCCTACGTGCCAATATTCACAGCATTTATCTGTAAAAGTTTCAGAACGGAGAAATTAAAATTAGGATAATTAAATGTCATTTTTAGTCTCTTTTTTCTTCTGGATTTCTCCCCAAACAACAGTCAGATAAACTTACTAGTCTCCAGTGAAATCCTGGAAAAGTGAGCAACTCATGGTGAGAACAGAGCCAAGCAAAGTGACAAGTGAGATGTGCGTGGAGAATTACAAACGAAATGTGCTGAGACCCCAGGCTGCGGTAGAGAGCATGGGGGGAGGCAGGGGGTCTGACCCACAGGAAGGGGGTGGCCCCCTGCAGCCCTGCACGGCTCCACCTGCTCCCACCCCTGACAGGGCAGGAGACGTCAATGAGACCCAATATCCGAAAAGCCCTTTGTTATTCCAAAGGCACTGGGCAAAGGTTAGGAACTCTCTTTTTTTTGTTTAAGATTTTTGTATTGGGGAATCGGGAAAAGGGAAGAGACAAGTTGCTGTCCTATTGTTCTTCAGTCTAGTTGTGGAGGACATCACTTCACTGGCCCATGTTGGTATTATTGTCATTGCACTCTTCCTGGGTGAGGCAGTTGCTCACTAGCCATTGGACGGCCGCTCACGGTGGCTCACGGCAGCTCACAAAAGCTCACGCCCGCTGCTGGCCAGCCCCACTGCAGCCTACGCCATTGCCGGCAACTCACGGCAGCCCAGCTCCAGGTCGAGCTGTTGTTCACCATCTTAGCTGTAGAGGGCGCAGCATCACTGGCCCTCATGTGGGATCTGAACTGGGCCCTGCTGCTCAGAGCTGGCATCCCAGCTGCGCCACACGGCAGGCCCAAGGAAGTCTCTTCATCTACTTATGGATCTCACTTTGTACAATAAATAACCTTTTCCATTTCTGAACATTTTCAAATAAGCCATGCCTTCATTCCTGACAACAAGCAGGACCACTGCAAGGACCTTTTATGAGCATTAACAAGAAGCAGATTTTCTTTAAGAAACTAAAGAATAGGGATTCTTTTGACAACTCTCAAGAATAACTCATTCAATGCACTAAAACCATCTTTGAAAACAAAACAAAAAAAGAACCCGCGATGGCTCTGCAGCTCAGCCCAGAAAGTTGCTGCCCCGGGGAACGCGTTCCATAAAGGGGGAGTGGGTGGCCGGCGTTTCTTCCCGTCGAGTCTGAGAAGACCTGCTATTCTGACCCCACGACTCACTCCTTTGTCTGTTTCTACGCTTTACAAAAGGGCTTAGAAGTTGTATTTCTGGCCTAGCGACTCTTCCCGCCACCGCTGGGTTTGGACCCGATTTAGCCCAAGGATCGGCAGGTGACTGAGCACAGTGCCGGCGGGAGGAGGTGCTAAGCTTGCTGCAGCTCCCGCACGCTGGTGTCGCAGGGCGGCTGGCCCTGCCTGAGAGCTCTATCTGCGAATAAAGATGTCTCTCCCTCCCCAGCCATTTTTCTACCTCATAACCAGGGTTTCCATGTCAAGGACAACGGGGGCCTTAGTGAAGGGAGGGAGAGAGAGAGGCAAAGCACCCTGGAGAGGAGCCGAAAGGAAGAAGCCCGCCTGGATACGCTCTCCTCCGGGCGGTGCCCTTGAGTCTCCCTGGGGTTAGTGGCTTCAGGGTCGGCAAGTAAAGGCTGGGCAGTTGCTGGTCATAGAGAGGACAACCATGAGAGGTTTGCAGCCAGCCTGCGGGCCACACTGTGCAATCAATCCTGCCTCTCCCACCCAGGGCTATGGGTGAGGGCTATGGGTGAGGGAGGTACCAGGTACCACAGGTTCACTGCTCTGTGGCTGTTCTGTGTCCCCTCCCCGCGCCCACCCTGATCCAGTCTTACAGGAAGGAGCCATGGGGGAGCCTTGGAAGGGAAGTCAGCCCCACCACCCCCACTACCTCAGGCGAGAAGATGCCCTTCCCTTTCTTACCTCTGAACTCACCTACTTGGAATGAGGCCAAAACACAAAACCACTGCGGACCTCACTCACGACCAGTGTCTTGACTACTTACATCTACAGAGTCCCATATATCACTCATCTCTACTGGGACCAGAGCCGGATTTCTCCCCAACCCCACCCCCTTCCCCTTCAGTCAAGCCTGTCCAGTCCTGAGACAGACTGCTTCCCACTGGGCTTTATGGCTGCTACTGCCTGGGATTCCCCCATCCTCCTGTGTTCCCATGACCCATGCTCAGGCCTGTGTCAGCAACTGTCCACTGCACAGTGGTGCGCTGGTCTCTCACTGAGGGACCGTGAGCCCCCGGAGTTCTGGAATAGAGCTCTGAAGGCATCGACCCTGTGTCCTGGGGCCCCAGTCCTGGGCTCCACACAGAGCAGACAAGTCGGCCGGTCACTCTCCAATGTAAAATACAGGGAAGGCAAGCTGTCTGAGATGAATAAGCAGCTCTGACTGACTCACTTGCCTTCTCAGCCCCACAGGCATCTGCAGAGGATGCCAAACACCTGACTGTGCTGCATAGAGCATGAGAATCAGACACTGATTCCCTTCAGTGATGGGCCAGTGGCAGCAGCCTTGAATGCTAAATCACCCAGTCCTCGGTGGTACAAGCTGAGCCCAAGGAGTGAAAGGGGGTGCGTGCCAACACCAAGCTGGTTTGGCAGTGTGACCCAACTCCAAACGGGGGTTGGGCCACCTTCCTGGGCCCCAGCCAGAAATATGACAAAGCCCATTGTTCTAATACCCACGAAGGTGCCCTTGAAAATGATCTTGGCTGCTTTGCCAGCCAAGAAATCACATCAGTGATGGCTACAGTGAACCAAGAGCTTACCAGGTGCCAAGCAGGTTACACACATCGGCATGGATCGCCTCAAGGGGCCAGAGAGCCCAATGGGAGGGCAAAGTCAGATATCCCAGGTGATCTGTTCACCCAGTGACCATGTGAGTGCCAACTGTGTGCCATGCTCCGGGCCAGGCACTCAGGATGCAATGAGACACAGCCTCTATCCCCAGGAGGGAGTTCATTGTTTGTGGAAGAAAACAGACAGAAAAATAGGCCAGTAAACACAAAGTGGGAGATGCCTTATTGAGGGCATTATCTCAGGCCCTGTTTCAGGACATCTGGGTGAATCTGAAATGAGGCTAGCCATATTATTTTGTACAAATTATTTAAATCCCTGAAACCCCAATTTCCTCATTTGTAATATAAGGATTGATAATACCTAAATCCAAGTGTTCTCTGAAGACTAAGCATGACAATCTGTACACCTCGGGACGAACAAAAATAAAATTAACTAAGGAAATGATGATTATCACTCTTTTAGTTAACCACAGAAGAATTTGATTTAATGCATAGATTTAAAGCATGACATCTCAATGTATTTCTAACTTTTTCTCATGCATCCATCTTCAAAACTCAACCCTTACAAGTTTGGTGTCTCTAACCTGGACTTGATTCTTTACTGGAGGGTCACGAGGGTGACCATGTAATTTACTGCCCAAACCAAGGCACCTCTGAGAGTGGGGGGATAAAAAGGAATGATTAATAATTCCACTGAACAAGGGAAACCAGATGTACCATTCTGACCAAATGAAATGGCTGATCACTTGGCCCACCATTCACAGGCCGGTTTCAGGGGCAAGGTCAGCAGCCATCGCTATGTGTCATTGCTCCATCACTTTTGGGAGCTGCCAATACCTGAGAGCAGGCCCAACTAAACTCCAACCTGGATGAGAGCAAGTGTCTGCTCCCTCACATCGGGAAGTCAGGAAAGTCAATGTACATGAACACCCCTACACCATACCCATATACACACACACAGGCACGCACCCATGCAAGCACGCACACGGCTCGTCTCAAAACCTAAAGAAAGGAGTCCGACCCTGGTCCTGGCCCTTGGCATCTGTCATCACCCTTCACTTGCTGAAGGCCAGCTGACGTCTAGCAAGACATCAGTGATCCCTCCCGCCTCCCCAGCCTTCCCCCTTACCTCAGGTGTCCCAAGCTGTAGAACCGGGACTCGCCATCGGTGGAGCGCACCACCTGCAGCGTGAACATGGGCTGCAGCTGTCTGAGCTCCAGCAGGACGATGGCCAGGTAATGGATGAAGAGGAGGGCGTCCACAAGGGAGACTGCGTATTGCACAATGCCCTGGTAATTTCGGTCCCGGGAGTCCAAAATGCGGACCCCATAAAAAAGCCAATAGGAGACCACGAACAGAAAGATGAGGACCAACAAAAGGGCACGAAACACAAACACGCGTGGCACATCGGCCCTCTGCTTGCGGAAAAAGAGCGCCCAGGTCCCGATGAGCAGGATGAGGAGTTTGAAGGCCACGGAGATGAAGAGTCCTTCACAAATGGTGCCACAGGGCTCCAGCTCCTCCCGCCACAAGATGGGGGGTAACAGGATGAAGGCGATGGGGGTGAGGAACACTAGAAGTCCGAGCACCGCGGCAACAGTGAGGCCCAGGTAGCGCTTGCAGTCCAGCCCCACGCTATCCTCCATGTCCTTGCTGATCCTGGCAATGTCCTCCTGAGATATGCTGTGCTCTGAGGTGCCCGTGATGGCCGTGGTGGTCTCTCCCCAGTTGTCATCCTGATGGGGAGAACACAGTGAGGATGCAGAGCTGCGCACAGCAGGTCCTTTGCACAAGCCACAAAGCAAGCCCATGGAGCCACAGTGGACACGGAGGGCCCATCCCACTGAACCAACCCGCACACATGGACTTCCTGGTTAACTGGTTAAGCTTAACTGATTAAGTGTAGCAGTTTTTAACGTTAACAATTTCCATTGACATTTTTCAAAAGGTATCCTATATTTACTTTTTCAGGTAGAGAAAAGATAATTTAACCTTTCTGTTTAGGTGATTCATTACTACGACACTGATTACCATCCACTGTGTTGGAAACCCGAGAGGCTTGGAGGGGTCCGGGGCTATTGCCTTGCAATAAACAATCCTATTGTTTGTGAGACTATAACATATGAGAGCTTGCTGATGGCCTAGGAAGAAAACCCTCTGCATTTTCTTCTCAATTCAAGGCTGTGTTATGAAAGGCAAAGTTCAACTTCTGGAAGTGCTCTGAAGAGCCAAGAGCAGAGGGAAAGAACTTACACCGCTTACATGCAAATCAAAGCTTACCCACAGCTAGGACACACTGTTTTTAAACCTCCACTATGTTTTTAAGACCCATTTGATAAAGATCAGTGTCAAGCACTCCTTGATGTTTCTTTCTTACCCAACAAGCTAAGCCAATGTAAGTGTCTTTGGCCAGGACACCTCAAAAATTCCTCCCCAAACACACATGCTCATGACAAACTAACCATCAAGGGCATGGAAATGCCAGGAGTATTATGATGTATCTGTCTTTTACTTGCTTGCTTTCACTTTTTTGCTTTCTCTCTCTTAAACTTGGAGATAGTTTCTAGTTGGAGCAATGAGTCTCTTCATTTTAACAAGATCCAGTTGTTAGGATTTTAAACAATTTTGCTATTTCACTGGCAACTCGGACTGCATTCCAAAGCAACAACAGAGCAAGGCGGCCATGGAAAGTCACATGGGGTCCAAAGGTTTTGCCTCAGAGATTTGTGTTTAGGATACAACTTGAAAAAAAAGCAAAACAGTCAGATGGAGGGGCAAGTTTGGTGAAATTAATGTGTAAGACACCAACTTAGAAAAATTGAGTTTAACAGCTGAATCAGCAAGATAGCAATATCATAATTGAACAATAACCTCAAATCTAGTGATGAGAAAAAAATATGATTATAGTGGCAGCGATGGTCTTGACCTATGAAGAAATAGTTCTTCAACTTGGAAAGTTACCGGTATCACATACCACAAGAGAAATTACTATTTAAATCAATAGTTAGAAGCAACCAAGACTCTCAACCATTGCGGGTAGAAGTATAAAATGGTACAATCACTCCTGAAAACTGGTCAGGCAGTTTCACACCAATTTCAATACTTAACTCTATGGCCCAGCAATTCCATTCCCAAGTTCTTATCCAAAATAAATGAAAACATATGTCACAAAAAGACTTGTACAAGAATGTTGTTAACAGCTTTATGCATAACAGCCAAAAACAGTGCAACCCAAATTTTTTTCCGTCAGGAAAAGGGATAACAAATTGTGGTATATTCATACAGTAGAATATTACTCAGTAAAAATAAAAAGGAATGAATTGTGGAAACATGCCAAAAAATGGATAAATTTCAAAATCATTATGCTGAGTGAAAAAAGTCCCAAATAAAAGAATACGATTTCAATTATGTTAAATTCTAAAACAAGCAAAACTAATCTATAGTGATAGAAATCAAACCAGGGCTTGCCTTGGAGAGGTGGGAGTTGGGGGCAGCAAGTGACTGGGAGAGAACTTTCTAGACTAATAGAAATGCAGTATATATATATTGACAGGGGTGTAAGTTATATGGGTTTATTCAGCTGTTAAAACTTATCAAACTCTACACATTAGATCTTTTATTTCTCTGGGTACGAATTTACTTCAATTTTTAAAAAAGAAAAAAATCATCAGCAGGAGAAAAAATAGCCACAAATTCCAAAATGGACAACTTGCTACCTAAAATAATTTACTTTGTAACACTCTTAGTGAAGGCAAATACTGGATTCCATGTTTTGTTTTGGACCTAATATTCAGTTGATAATCAATGCTGAAATAATTACCACTGGTATCTTGTGGTCATTTTGTTGGTCACAACACCAGTCTGATTTAGCTACTCACCTTTTTTACATTGTGTGCTCTGAGGAATTCCAATTTCAGTCCATCTACCTGCTTATAAATGCATATCTGTGTTTGTACACACAGAAATACAAAATTCAGACAATTAAGTTCGCGAACTTTCCACCGTGTAAACACACAGAGGAAAGTTTGCAAACTTAATTGTCAGACCTTTCGTATACTTATTCATAATCCTATATCTTTACAGCTGTGTGTGCATATGTCAGTTTATTAGGGGCCAAGTCTGGACATGCATATACTTCAAGAGCTGTGGAGAGTATGCAAGCATGTTTCTGAGTGTAGCTCAGATGTTTATTTAAATCAGCTGGGTTGCCAGAAAATGGTGACCCAGAGAGAAGAACACACACAGTGTTTTGTTGTTGTTGTTTTAATTAGTAAATTGCCAATATAGTTGACCCTTGAAAAATGTGGGGGTTAGTGGTGCTCACCCCCAGCACAGTCAAAAGTCTGAGTGTGGGCCGGCGAGTGGTATGTTGGTTAAGAGCTGGCTTGGGATGCCAGAGGGCCCCGGTTCAGATCCCACATATGAGGGCCAGTGACACTGCCCTCTACAGCTAAGATGCTGAACAACAGCTCAACCTGGAGCTGTTCTGCCGTGGGTCGCCGGCCACAGTGTAGGCTGCAGCCCCTGCTGCAGTGGGTTGCCATGGGCTACCGTGTGTAGCCAGCAGCCAGCGTGAGCGGCCATCCAGAAGCCGGCGACTGATCTGCCTCACCCAGGAAGAGCGCAATGATGGTGCCAACTTGGGCCAGTGAAGCAACGTCCTCCACAACTAGACTGAAGAACAAAAGGACAGCAACTTGACTGTTCCCCTTCCCCCAATTCCCCAGCACTGTTCCCATCCCCCAATTTCCCAATAAAAATCTTAAAAAAAAAAAAAAAAAGTCTGAGTGTAACTTTTGACTCCTTCAAAACTTAACCACTAATGGCCTACTGTTAACTGGAAGCCTTACCAATATCCAACAGTCAATTAATACACATTTTGTATGTTATATGTATTATATACTGTTTTCTTACTATAAAGTAAGCTAGAGAAAATGTTATTTAAAAAATAAAAATCCTAAGAAAGACAAAATACATTTATTTATTGAAAAAAAATCCACGTATAAGTTGACCCGCACAGTTCAAACCCGTGGTGTCCAAGGGTCTGCTGTATTTAAAAATTGGGTGATTTCACATAAAATCCTAGTTTCCAGCTTTTCTTAAACATTGCAAGACCCAGGAACACCGACTTCCTGAGCAATAAGAAGTGTCTGGAGCTGGGGGGCTGCTGTTCCCTTGACAGGGAAAATGCATTCTCTGAGCACAGATCCCATCAGTCCTCGCACGGCCATGACACCGAGGTACCTCACACACTGCTGTTCATCCCTCAGCTTGCCTGACACATTTGTGCCCCTTCTTCGTGACCCAGGGCGTATTTCATTCATCTGTGTCTTCCAACCAGGCATCTAAGTGTGCAGCCCCCGATTCATTGGAAATATCTAGTAGTGATGCTCACTCTGGGCTGTCCTAAGCTCCCTGTTCTTCTTTCTTCCCCACACGACTCAGGGAGGGAGTGTCCTTCCCTTTCTCATCCGGTTCCACTTTGAAAACACGTCTCCAGGGACTGCAGCCCATAACTTTTCCCTTCTCTGCCCTGTCGTCAGTCAGCCTTGCTGGCTTGTTTTCAATACCATTCAAAGCAGGCCTACCAATCACACGTCAGAAGAGTCCCCACACGAGCCAATGGCAGGACAGGCTGCCCTTAGACCAACAAGAAACCACGAGGCATAGATAAACTAATTAACATGCTGGAAAAATAAAGATAAAAACCCAAGAGAACCTATTGCAACAAGACTTAGGAAAACATTGACCGAATGGAGTCTTGATCAAGTGGCAGTGTGCTTACTGCATGCCTTTGATCTTTACCTGAACTTCCTCCGTCCGAGCAGAATCATTTGCCAACAGGGGCTCTCCAGTGGGAGCTTGAATGGTGACAGATTTTTCTGACCCTCTGCCATCTTTATTCCGGGATGATTTGTGTCTCTCTCTATTTCTTTCCCTGGAAAAGAAAAAAGATAATCAGCTAGCACATTTATGCCACGTTAATTAATTCTCATCAAAATATATGGTAAATTTCATTTTGAATTCAGAAAAATTACACACACACACACATGCGTGCACACACACACACACACACACACGCACGCGCACACACACACGGTGCCAATATTCACCCATCGCACCCCCCTGCAAGGAGTAAGCTCATCTTTACTCCCTACTTAGTATTTTCTTTCTGCTATTCCAGGACCCAAAACTGTCACTCCATCTCTATCAACAGTGATCACATTTTTTCAAAGCCTAAACTTGTGAATTTTAGAATTTTGTAGGTAAGGCACATATTTATTGCAAAATTACTGCCCGGGTTTGATTATAATTTGCCCAAACTTATTTTCTAGTAATTTTTTTTTTTTATTGCGACAACACTGCCAAATATTTAAGCCTTCGTCTGTCCAAAACAAAAGACAAGAATCTGGGACACATTGTCACCCTACGCCTTTGGACAAAAAGAAAGAAAATTCTAAACCAGCACAGAGAATTATTCACTTCTCATTCCTACGAGTCCAAACTAA